GGTCCCGCAGAGCTGATCTGGGGTAACCGGTCCGTGTCACCGGTTACTGTGCTGAATACCGTCAACCCGACGCCTTCTGCGGGATTCCCGTGATGTGTCTCAGGCTGTTCGCGTGCCTGCGTGCTTCTCGGTGCGCACTTGTGCATGTAGGAGCAGGCAGGCTGTGTAACACCCGAGTTGCGGCTCTCCCTGCCTCACTGTACCGCCTCCTCCCCGGGAACCGAGGCCCGATCCTGGAACCGCTGCCCAGACGAGCAGCCCCGCTGCCAGCCGTGTGTCCTGCGGGGAGGATCAGGCCCGGAAGGTCCCAGGCTTGCCCTGGCACAGGAGGGAAGTTTGTATGATGTGTATTCCCGAGGCTGCGGTGCATCCTGTCACCCTAGAGCCAGAATAAAAGATTGGCTCGGGATCCGCGAGCCCTGGGAGGAAGAGCCTTTGCGGTGAATACACATCCACTCCATTAACAATATTTTCGGAATCGGTCAATAACTCACCAAAACGTAACTTAAACACGATGAATTTAGGAGATTAAACAATTTCATTAATATTGAAATGGCTGCTGAGGCTGAGCGCGCCCGCTTGAAATGCAAGCGCACGTTTTTCAATATTAACAGAAGTACTTGAAGAAAAGAATAATGTCACCTTCTTAATTCAGCAAAAATAGCTGGGGTGGGGGAGGGAGCGCTGCGCCGGCCGTCTGTGCGGTGCGGGCTGCTGCGAGACCGGCTCCGCGGGCGCGTAGAAGTCTTCTTGGAGGGACAGTCCCCATCAAGCAGGGCTCCCTGCGCCCTGGCACCAGCTTGAAAACGCATTTCACGCTGCAACTAGCTCCGACGTCGTGTGTGTTAAACTGCGTTCCCCTCGTTCCAACCCGGCTGCCCTCGGTCCCATCTAATCCCTCTCTCTCGGGGCAGGATGTCGTTTAGAGAATAATGGGCAAATAATTGTGTTTCTAGGAATCCGAGAAGCCGACCTCGGCCCCGCGTTGCCGAGCTAACAAGCCCTTTTGGGGGGAGACCTGCCGCATGTCACCCCTCCTTGCAGAGAGGGGCCCGGGGGCGTTCGTGCCTGGGAGCTGCCTTGCTCATTAACCGGCTCTGAGATGCTTCGTGCCGGCCGGGCAGGGCAGGAAGGCAGCCTCCAAACTTTTTTTTTTGGGGGGGGGCGGGGGGAGAGGAAAGGTGATGAGCCGGTGGACGTTTGTTAGAGGGTAGGAAAGACAATACTCTGAAATGAGGACAGATTCCTCCCAGCGTCCCCTAGGACACCGGGCAGAAGACTTTTATTTTTGTATTGAGAGCCCCAAATATGTGGGTTTAATGGACACCTCCGCCCCCCCCCCCCCCACTTTTAACACCCCCCAGTTCGGGTTTTGTCTCTCAGCCCAAGTTCGCTCCTGGGATGCCTGTCCAAAAGAGAACTTAGAAACAGCACGGGAGTAAATAAAATTCACAGACTGACAAATTCTTTTCTTCCTCTTTTTGCCGGTACCTTTTCTTTTCGAAGAAAGAAAAAAACCAACCTCTGGCGCAAATGGGAACCCGCAAGCTGTAAAGTTAAAGGAAAGTCGACTTCCGTTCTCATTTGCTACTCCGAGCGCGAACGAGTGAGTGGCGGTACGCGCCCGCCTCCCCCCCCCCCGCCCCCAGTGCAAAGGAATGTGTGAGCAGAGGGATAGGGCAGGCGAAGCCATCCCGGTAATTGATACCCAAAGTTTCACCTCATGTTAAGCACGCAACAGATGACAGACGTGGGCGATGTAGGATTTAAATGTAAGTTGTAGCATTTGCCTTTTACTTTGAAAGCCAACATTAGGGAGGAGGGGAGGGGGCAAGTGAATCCAAATCCATTGTGCAAAAAACCCAAAACAAATAGACGTTTTTCTGAAGCCTAATTCAAATAAGCAGCTCAGGGGAAGTGCTGGGAAAACTGTATAAAATACACATAAGTCAATTATATCAATGTGCAAACCCAATGGAAATCTATTTCATGCAATAGCCATTCAGCCCTTGCATGGAGCTCATCATGGACCACCTTTCTGCATGGAAGGTTCGCAATAGCCCCCTTTCCCACAAGCAAGACCACACACGTTTACAGATTTGGTAATAATTTATGCTAATTTTCCTCCATAAATCCACAATTCGCCTCAGTGGCAAGCGGGGCTGTTGAGAGAGGAAAAGGGGAGAGAAAAGTGACAACTACAATATTGATTTTGAATCCTTGTGGCTGCAAGCAGGTGTGTAGCTTTGCAGAGGGGAGGAGTGGGAGAGGGGCTGTGGGGAGAAGCCAAGAAGTTTTCCAAGGATGAAAAAAAGAAAAAAAATCCACTCTGTGTGAGAGAATAGCTCACAACCTTGTTAATATTTACAAACCAGTTGGGAGAAAAGAGAAGGGAGGGGGGAAGTACCAGCTTCTTAGGGTTTCCTAGGCTGCAAAACACAATGCCAGGCTGTGAGCAAGCTTCCCCCGTTTTGGAAAGTCAACTCCAGGCTGCTGGTCGTGGCTGCATTTCGGCTAAGCCTCGCTCTCTTTTTTGTAATGGTTCTGCTTCTCTTTGCTTCTAGGGGGGCGGGAGGGAGAAGGAAGCGGATTGATTTGGGCTCTCCCGCTTTTCTGTGTGCTTGAATTCCCGGTGCGGTTTCCCGAAGCGCTCCGGCCGCTCTGGGAACGGCGGGGCTTTGTCCCACCCCACATTCTTCACCAAATCTGCCACTTTGGCGTGAAACTACTTAGCGCCCTTTCAAAAGGATTTTGTTCCTGTCGCAACGAGCACTAAACAAACTCCCCCTGCCTGTCAAGGCCGGACTGAGAACCGCTCCCCAAACCTGTATCCCTGAGAGCAACAGAACTGACCGCTCGGGATTTGCGGTGCCCTTTGGGCCCGGGGGGCCGGGCTCGGGCACGGCTGCGCCCCGCGGGGCTCGGCGCTCCCGGCGTCGGGCAGCGCGCTCCGCCGCCCCTGCCCTGCCGCCGCCCGCTGGCTCCTCGTCGCTGTCGCGCTACTTAATGCCGGCTCCCGGTGTGTGCCGTTGTCGCCCGTCCCGTCGGGGACTTCGAGCGCCAGCGGCCCCGCTGCGCCGCCGGGGGCGGATCGGAGGACGGCCGGTCCCAGTGTCCCAGGTCACCCTCCCCTCCTCGCGGCCGGAGGGACGGCGGGCCCTGGTCCCTGTCGGATCCAGGGAGGAGGCAGCCCTGGCACCGCCCGTCCA